TTTCTTTTTTTTTGACACAGGCAGAGTAGACAGTGAGAGAGAGAGACAGAGAAAGGTCTTCCTTTTCCATTGGTTCACCCCCCAATGGCCGCCGAGGCCAGCACACTGTGCTGATCCGAAGGCAGGAGCCAGGTGCTTCTCCTGGTCTCCCATGGGGTGCAGGGCCCAAGGACTTGGGGCATCCTCCACTGCCCTCCTGGGCCACAGCAGAGAGCTGGCCTGGAAGAGGAGCAACCGGGACAGAATCCTGTGCCCCAACTGGGACTGGAACCCGGGGTGCCGGCGCCGCAGGTGGAGGATTAGCTAAGTGAGCCACGGCGCTGGCCGATCAGGTACAATTTATCCAATTCTTTTGTGGATTGTTGGGTGTATTATGGGTAGGAAACTCTTTGGCAAGCCCAAGGGGAGACCTGAATTTGTCAGGTGTGCCGCTGGAGAAGGGAGGATAAATTGCTTGCGTTAGGATGAGACGTTTCTTTGTGTTGATGCTGTTTTACAGCTAGCCTCCTGAATGCATTCTGCAGTAACATTTGAGTGCCTTGCTGATGAGAAGTACTTTCTGTCTCTAGTAATCAGTTTATAATAAGAACAATAAGAGCTAGTATTTATTAAACTTGCCTTGGCTGAACTCTTTAAATACATTCATCTCTCTTAATTACCACAGCAAGCATGGGGGATAAGCACTGTTACTATGACTGTTTTAGTGATGAGGAAGCTGAGGCAGTAAGAGACTAGGTAAAGTGCTGAAGTGAGGGTTGTAACCCAGGCAGAATGATCGAGCCCATTTTCAGGTGCTGGCATTTGCTGCGATGGTGGGGACACTACTTGGGCCTTGTACATCCCATGTCAGGGCGCCTGGGTTTGAGTCCCAGCTCTGCTTCTGCTTCCAACTTTCTGCTATTGTACCTCGTGGGAGGCAGTAGGTGATGGCTCAAGTAGTTGGGTCCCTGTCACCCAGGTGAGAGACCTGGATTGAGTTCTGGGATTCTGGTTTTGGTTAGGTACAGCCCTAGCTATTGTAGGCATTTGTTGAGTAAACCAGCAGATGGAAGATCTCTCCCTCTTTCTCTTTCTCTACCTTTCAAATAAATAAAATAATGAATTAATTTAAAAAATTTAAAATGATGACTGAATGAATGTCTATGCTGTCCTAAGGGATACCTCATTTCTTAACTGGAGGATTTCATATCATCACGTGAGATGGGTTTGATTATCATATTTTAATTTACTACTGATGCCAAGTTCATTTCCCTAAGGGATATAACACATCTAAGACATGAGAGCTTTAATGAAGCATAGGGAATCCACGGAGGACCAGCAGACTCAGGAACAAGAAGGGAAGCTCAGGCAAGAGTCACAGTGAGCCCAGGGAGAGGCCTGGGGTTGCCAAGAGGCAGGGCACTATAGTGTCACTCACACAGGGCCTTCTGGGAATCATGCCCCAACTTTACAAAGTATTGGGTGGAGGGCAGGTTCTTGAGCATCATTTTTCCACTGATCAGATCTCTACAAATTTGATAAGATATAGCAATGTATGAGCAGAATCTAAGCTTGTATTCCTCAATTATTAATTTTTTAAGGCAGGAGGGATCCTTTTGGGAAAATTAGGAAGATAAAATAAAGCCTAGATATTCCTTCCAAACTTGGGAGTGGAGAGTCTTAGGAGGGACAGACACTTTTGTTCACTTTTAATAAATATTTGTTGAACACCTACTAGGAGTCAGGCTCTGTGCTAGACACCAGGTCTGAAGCTGAGAGCACAGAGCTGGCCCTGTGAGCAGAGATCGTAAAGATAGCACCGGAAGTGTATACAGTTGTCCCTCGCTGTCCATGGGGAATCAGTCCCAGGACCCCCTGCAGACACCAAAACCCTCGGATGCTCAATTCCCTTATCTAAAATGGCATGGTATCCCATATAACTTACACACACCCTCCCTCATAGTTTAAATAATCTCTAGA